TGTAGCAAAATTAAAATGCAACATATAGAAACATTCACACACAATATCAGATCATTATATACATTTGTAACAGCAACACAACACTATATAGCATCATCAGCAATATTTAGAGTACAATAACATTATAAGTCAACTTTACTTTGTATTTCTCCTGCAAGTACAATATATGTTGTGACATCATACCAGTTTCCAATACACTTGCTATGATGCCCGAGGTGTAATTATTGAACCCACCACCACCACACATTAAGCCTCTGTGAAACAAAAACATGTTAAATTAAATTTAGATACAGGTCTGTAACCTTACATTTGCCATGCTAATTAAGAGCATCTGGAACATATTACAATTTAGTTTCAGAAATCTGTTTGTAGCAACTGATCAAGCAATTATTTGTGGAAATGTGATGAGTGACACAGACTGAAAAAATCTGTGGGGCACCTATAGAATGGCTAATTTATGCAAACTAAGAAATTACTTGTCACTAATAAACCGACTAGAGAAATCTCATCACAAATCAATTGACCAGAGAACTTTCAGGACTAAAGCAACTGATCAGTGAACTCTCATGACTAAAGCAACATGTCGGGTAAATCACATGACTAAAGCAAATGATCAAGGAAATCACATGACTAAAGCAACTTATCAGAAAAATTTCATCACCAAGCAACTGATCAGGGAAATATCATCACTAATTAACTGATCAGGAAAATCTTCAATTAAGCAAATAATCGGGAAATGTTTGTCACTATAAACAATTAATAAGGGAAATCCTATCACTAAGCAACAGATTAAAGAAATCTTATCAATAGGCATCTGATTAGGAAAATGTAACTGACCAGGGATATCTAATCATTAGTAGATAATTCAGGAAAATCTTGTAACTAAGCAACTAATCAGGAAGAATTACATCACTTAACTGAATAAATTCTAAATTTATTGTAAAACCAATATACTCACGAAAATCTGAGAATATTGAGCAATCTTTGTGGAGCTTCAAGCCATCCAATTCTCATTCCTGGTCCCAAAATCTTGGAAAAGGAACAGTTAGACACTACATTGCCTTTATAGTCCACGTCTTGTTTTTTATCGTAAGCAAACAATCGCATTGGTGCTGGTAGGAGATTCTCACCAGGTTTGTCATTAGGTATATATGACAACAAATTATATACATCATCACAGACAACAAAGATATCACGTCTTCTGGCAATTTCAACCAGTTTCTTGCACTTCTCTAATAAAACACATCATTGTCAATTATTTAATCTACTTCTGTATTTGACAGAATAAATTTGACATGCTCAATTTGAAAATTTATGATTCATATTTTTCTTCATATTTTAAAGTTTTGAATATGTTGTATACAGATTTTATCATAAATGTGAAAACTTTGTAACAATTAGAGATTTTATTTTAATTAATGTCAGGTGATACACTTACTATAGGTTTTGAATGGCTACCAGTCAGCCATTTTGAACTTTTCAAACTAAATCTATTTTAATAGAAATACCCGGTACATGTAATATTTCAATAATTAATATTAAATTTTCAGAAACTCCAAGTTGTATCCGTTTAACTCAAATTGTACTGTGATCAAGTATTGAACATCATGTAAAACCAAAATTGAAACAGTCAACATTGTGATAGTTCATAGTTACGCGGGGGAGTAATAACAATAGGTGATTTACCTTGCACAATGTGTGAAAGACTTCAAACGTCTGCCACAAAAATCAGATTATTTGATTTTCAGCTTTATTTTCTTTTTTTTATAGTTTAATTTCAGAAAGTAATATTGCATTGAGATAAACTTACTTCTCGAAATTGACTGTAATCAAAGGGGTATAGCACAATATTGAGTTTAAAAATACTAAAAAAAATGTTTTACATTTGTCAAACCTCAAGAGATGTTTCAATGCCATATGCACATACTGCACAATGCTATGACCTTTATTTGCCCTGTTTTTATGTTTGATTTCATACGTAACAAAAAATGATCTATTCATAAATGCCATATGCACATACTGCCACAATGCTATGACCTTTATTTGCCCTGTTTTTATGTTTGATTTCATACGTAACAAAAAATGATCTATTCATAAATGTTTGTATATTCACCTGCAGGTAGACATTTCCCCTTTGGATTGTTAAACGTAGGTACAGTATAAAGCATTGTCCAATATGGCTGCTTTTCAGTCACAACGTGTTTCGATTTAAGACGATAATCAGTGAGTAGTTTGTCTAATACTTCCAACTCCAATCCCTCCGAAGTAGTTGGCACTGTACGAAACAATACAATAACATTACAAATTATATAGTTTTTAATAGGTTAATCACACATTCCAATTATACTAAGCGCTAATGTCACATCAACATTTCATTCAGTCAATTGTAGAGTTTGTCTCCAATCTGGCATCCCCCAGCCCAGTCTTTTTCATTACAAAAACATAGAAAACAAATCATTGTCAATGACATATCCTCTGTTGGTATTTGGCTGAATTTAGAGAACAGAATGAAGAAGAATGGCAAGTTTCATAAAAACAAAAGTAAATTTGCATGAATATGAAACACAATATGTCTTGCTGTTGTATCAAAAAAGTCACTCGTAATCACCAATAATCACAGTCACTCGTGTATGTTGAGATGATTTTTTCACAAAAATGGCTGCCAGTCAGCTCAAGGGTAACATACAAATGACAAATCAATGTTGATATATCATGTAATGTACCGACATTGAACAAAGTCATTGAAGTCATGTCTGAGATACAGTTGAGGAACAAGTGACCTGATGGTCGGAATAGCTCCCAACATTGTGGTAGCCAAGTCAAGCAAAATACATCCATAAGACTTCTTCTGGAAAATAGTCAGCTCAAATTGTTACCAAGCAAAGTAATTTTCAAGAAGAAGTCAAAAATAGTAATTTTTACCGAAAATTACAAGAATATTTGCCAAAAATAGAGAACTGAAAATATCGTCACAAAATCTAACAGAGGCCCATCCAATGTACCATACCAAGTATCAAAGCAACTGAGCTTTTAGTTGTCAAGAAGTAGAAAATAGCATTTTTTTGACAAAAAATTACAAAAATATTCGCCAATAATAGTGAATTGGAGATATCGTCACGACATGAACCTACATAGCAAATATCATAGCACTTAAGGTAGCGAGACTATTATTTGTGTTTAAAATTACGATTTTCACATTTATTTATTAATTGATGAAATGCACTATAAACTTTCACCTGATAAAGTCAACGTAACCTAGAATGTCATGTAAGTTGGTTAAAATGTTAATTTTTTGAAGGGAAGCAAGGCAGCTTCAGTAGTGTTTTCCAAAATCAACAACACAGGTTTAATTTGTGTGCCTATAAGTTTCAAAGATTAACTCAAAACAAAGCAATGTTAGGATGTGTTATCAGTAGCTATCTGACACACAATTTGAGTAGTTTGTCTCCGCCCCTGTTTATTTCACAGATTAGTCATTTGCATATGAATGTGTCAGACACAAGGTCACACAGCCACTGAAAAAAATCATTGATTTTGGTGTTTTCATCTGTCGATTTTATCGAACTATACTATCCCATTCCTTTTATTTTTTGGTTTCCAATAGCCTTACACATTTGGATGTCCCTACACATGTTAAAACAGACCTTGAAGGGAAAACAAATCGATTGTGCAGATAAACAAGCTTGAAAATCTTTGCTGTGACTTCATCAACATTTTCTAGGAGTTTATGTTTTTTAACAAAAAATAACGTATACTAATTGTCGTTGGATTAACACCAAATTTTCACAGCTATAAGGTGACAAGGAAAGGAACTTGAATGTGTCCAGACAAACTATTTCATGGATTATTTACCAATGTGTTGTTGTTTGAGTTTTCAGGACACTACTTTTCAAAACGCGTTGCTTGAATAAAACTAACCAGACACATTCAATTTACCAGACTATTGAACAACTAGGAAAAGTGAAAAAAAAACTTCTTATCACCAGTATAAATGCGTAATTATTTTTTTTACAAAAAAAGTAATTTTTCACTTTTGATTAAGTAACGCACCGTAGAATGCAGATACGGGCATGGCAAACACACCTTTGAAAGCTTGAAGTCTGGCAATTCCAAAAATATATACTTTCCTGGGTCTATTTGTAGTCATTTGGTCACAATTAAAAGATGAAAACAAGTATGCAAATAATAGTCCCGCTACCTTAAGCTGGTAGTTTCCAAGAAGAAGTCGAAAATAACATTTTTTATGAAAAATATTTGTCAAGAATAGAAAATTGAAGATATTGTCATGAAATGATATAATCTGACAGCATTCA